CTGATGTTTTCCATACAATGAAAGTGAGTGCTGATCAAGCACTGTCAAGCTCCAAAAATGACAAAAGATCACATTAGATATAATGTGTTTATTTTGCGCCATCTGATATGCTCACAGGGGTTGGCATCCTCTAAAATCTTTTTTAAAATCTTAAAAATATGTTACATTAACAATAATCAAAATAAACTTGAGTATGAGATGAGTCAGAGGATTAGGGCCTGCAGAGAATCTTCCCACAAGACTATTCAGGTGTCATAATATCACAAATGTTATAATAAGATAGTTATTAGTGGAAAACACTCATTTTATCTCAGGACATAATGATTAAATGCCTTTGTGTACCACATAAGAAGTGTTTCAGTAATGCAATAAGCCACTTAAGGATAGTTGCCACAAAACGGCAATTTTGTCATCACAAGTCATCCATATGTCATTCCAAACCTGTTTGACTTTTTTTTTTTTGTGGAACAAAAAAGAAGAAAGCTGATGTTTTCCATACAATGAAAGTGAGTGCTGATCAAGAATGACAAAAGATCACATTAGATATAATGTGTTTATTTTGCGCCATCTGATATGCTCACAGGGGTTGGCATCCTCTAAAATCTTTTTTAAAATCTTAAAAATATGTTACATTAACAATAATCAAAATAAACTTGAGTATGACTCAGGTGTTATATCCCACATCTTTAAATGCCATATTATAGCTTAGTGTGGTGTTTAGAACGACATGAGCGTGAGTAAGTAATTACAAAAATTGTTATTGTTAGGTTAACTATCCCTTTACAGCCGTGCATTATGGGGATTTAGGTTATGATGTTTACATGATATACGTGATGGTATTTACATTAAGCAATGGTACAAAAAATACTTGATTTCTTTATTTTTTGAATATTTAGTTTAATTCGATTCACATTTATTTTGTGTATAGTGTTTGTACAGGCGTATCGTTGCAAAGCAGCATTACATAAAATGCATGTTTCTACATTACAATTAAGGGTAATCTGTTATCAAAGCTGAGTGTGTCAAAGTAATGTCCATCTGATAGAAATGTGCTAGCTTCTAAGGTTCTAAATGTACTAGTTCTAGGATCATACATATCATGCAGTTAGTTAATGACAGTATTTAAACAGAAATGATGAACACAAATTAAAGCAATGATTACATGCTGTGATCATGATGATTATAATATAGCAGTTTCAGCTGTTGATTGAGAGTTTGCGCCATCTGATGTGCTCACAGGGTTTGGCGTCTTCTAAAATCTTTCAAATATACAACATTAACAATAATAAAAATAACCCGTTTTTCCATTATAGTTAAGTTTGAATGATTTGCAGCAATTCAGTTGTTGTGTTTTTAGTACTATAATTGTAAAAAGCATTTAAAATGAACACAATACATTTTACCAGGACATGTAATGTTACTGTAAATAGTTGTAAACAGTTTACAGTACTTGCTCATTTTGGGTATGTTACATTGTATGTTGTTCAGTCAATGTTTACAGCCGGGTGTTACAATGATGGCATTTTGTCTTTGTAAGGGTAACATTGCAACAAAGCATTAGCAATTGTTTATGGAAAGGGATATTATGATGATCTTTAATTCATCATGTGGCTTTCTGTTTTATTCCATGTCATTATGGTGGTTATTAGTATTTATGGTACAAAGCAGATTTTAGTAGTATAAGTAGGCTGGTATATTAATATTATTGGTTAATGAAAAACAGGCCTACAGTTATGAAATGCAGAACAGGCATCAAAATGCTTCCTGTAATGCTTGAAGCGCTGGTACCGTATTTTTTATGGTGAATATTTGTTTCTTTAATGCATGGATAAATAAAGAATCCTTGGTTTGATTCTTTTTAAAGTGGAATGACAGTGTTTGTTGTGCAAGACAAAGAAATGCAGCGATGATCACAACACCTTGACTTTGTGGAATGACAGCGTAAAGCAACTTCCTGCACATCATTCGAGCCTGTGCAGAGCTGTAATGAAAGCCATGATGAATGTGACATCCAGTGAATAGGGACATTGTGTAGAATCCCTCTGACGGCTCAGAAAACCTCTAATCCACAAGCAAATTGAACTTGGAATCAAGCATCTATTTATTTGCATGATTTGATTTAATATTCTAAGACTAGAAGATGAAAGATGAGATATTTATTAGAATAGCTGAAGATTTGACATTCAGATGGCTTGTCTCACTTTTTCAATATTTTTCCATTTGAGGCCAGAGTTAAATTGCTCAGAGGACAGACTGGCTCGCGTTTGGTTGCCCTCGTGGATTATCCATTACTTCAGACAACATCTTTCTCAATTTCCTTGAGTGTGGCACATTCCCCATGCTTTTAATGAAATGGTTTAATTTATATTTGAGTTAGGTGACATGGCAGATTTTTACATATAATTCTAGAAAGAGTATAGAAAAAGAGCAGTTCATTGTGCATTCACAATACAAATTCTTTTTTGTGTCAAACAGTCATTTAAAAGCTGTATTTCATATGAACTGAAATAAAAATATAAAGAGCAAAAGGAAACAGAAGCATCTAAGTGGCTTCTCATAAGTATTGTAACATATTGCAGAACTGTCTCCTAATGATGAGTTACCTGCCATTATAACTGTCCCTTGGGCTCTGCAGGAAATGGGACTCTGTACTAAAAGTGGAAGACGCTCTTTTCAAATGAAACTTTACAAGGACACTGTAACCAATCAATTATACTCCACCGTATGATGAAAAGATTTATTTCTTGAAGTTAGAAAAGGCCTAGATCATCACAGATACTGAACATCTGGCAGCACAGATATTTATGTAGTTCAAAATCAGATCATTTTTCCTCTGTCAGCTGCAGAATCAAGGTTCTTATAGTTAACTAAAACTAAAACCATCAAAAACCTTTGTCACAAAATATATTTTAATCATTTTATTCATACAACTGAAATGAAAAGCTAGCTAGTTGTTAACATTTATTCTTTCTATTTAGTTTAAGTTGGTGTAAAATAACTAATAATAATTCAATAAAAACTGTATCACACTGACTTTTAACCCGTGTGCGTCAATTAAAATACGTTACACGTGTCAAAAAACTGTCATAAAAATGTGAAGCTTGGGAGCACAGTTAAGTTTGGTCTCATTTTAAAGAAGATCCATGGCAGATTATTGTTGAAGTAAAAAAAAGTTTATGAAAATGATTTATGAACGATATTTTATATAAAAGATATATTTTATGAAAGTAAAAATCTAAACAAGTTGTGTTCCAAATTTGTGGTTGATATCTCAAAAAATTAGCTTTCAGTAAGATTTTGTTTGGGCGCAGTACCAAATTTTCCCAATTAGATGGCAGCAAAACTCTGCTGGTGCACACAGTGGTTGGATTTGTGATTTGCAGTAGAGTTTTTCTCTCTCAAATATTATAAGAACACACACTCACACACACACACACAATTTTTTTTATGACACACATACAAACCGCACTCTGACATCCATATCAATTTCCCCACACAATTATAGCTGCATTATTAACCAATTGGTTCTATAATATGCAGAAAACTGGAATAAAGCGAGTGTTTGCTTTGTAGGCCAAACCTGAAAAAAATGGCACCATCTAGTAATTTTTTGTAAAATTTACGTTTTAACGCCTTGCCAACAGAATGAAAGCCTATTAACAAAAATTGCATCATTTTACAGTTAAATGGCACTGCGAAAATAGCAGTTTTAATGGGTTTCAATGGGGACATTTTTGTCCTTAATATCCTGAGAGGAACAATTTTGTGTACAGTGCAAAACAGATTTATTAAAAGTAATGGAAGTAAAATAGTAAAATTCCAAAAAAAATACACACCTGTGCCAAAATCTATGCAGTTGGCAATAACACAGGCAAAATGATAAAAAAATAAAATAAAAAAAAAACTGAAAAGGACAAAAATGTCCAAAAGGTCGCACAAGGGTTAATGAAATAGTTCCGTTTATATTGGAGTTGTGACAGCAGGTTTCATTTGTTAAAAAAATACATAAATGAAAAAAGTGTTTCATTGTAAAAAAAAAAAAAAACAAACAAAAAAATACGTTGTTCCTGAAATAAAACAACATTTTTATGTTATGTTAAAAAAAACTTTATTTCAATTAGTTGCCAAGGCAATTTCTCATTTTATATTTATTTTAAGTTGTTGAACTAAAATTAACTTAAACTAAAATTATAAAGAATAAAACCTGTATAGGACAGGCTGGCTTTTAATGAAATATTTCCATTTATTTTGGAGTTAGGTGACAACAAATCTGATTCGCTTTCAATAAAATAAATTCTTTTAAAAATAAAATAAGACGTTCATTGGTGGTTCATTTAAAAATATTTATTTGAAATATTATTTGATCTTATATTGTTTTAGCTAATTGCAAAGCCAATTTTAAGCTGATGTACTAAAATAACTCAAACTGAAATAATAACTAATAAAAATATATAAAAATAATTCATATAAATTGAAAAAAAATACAGATATTTAAAAATAAGAATGATACAAAATCTTTAAAGTTAAAATGAAAACAAAATATTTAAAAAAAACATTCAAAATATTAATAACTATAAAAACTATTAATAGCATCTCAATGAGACTAAAATAACACTGGTTAGATAGAGGGTCTGTCCTGGAGGCGACGCTGCTGTGAGCAGAAAACCTCCTACACGCTCAGTCGGACACTGTGAGGCACCACGAGATTGTTCTGAGACCTCCAGTGCTCGTTTGACCACAGCTCTTCAGGGGCCCCGAGCACAATGGATCTAATGACACTGGAGCTCGTCCATATCACAGGCAGCACCCCTCGCTTCTGTTCATTATAAAATCACAACCAAATTAAAACATCCTTCAGTCTAGTTTGCATTAAGCAATCAATCACAAATGCTCATGTCTGTGGGACAGGACTTAATGAGTCTCTCGAATAATTGTCGCAATCAATGAGAAATAGCGCTGTTTATTTGCCAAAAAACATTGCTGTCACCTTCACCGTTCCAGTTTTTAGATCCTGAGTCAAGCGCCAAAAATAACAAAAGCCATGCCAATGTTGTCGTTTGAAGTTTTTCTCTGCGCAGTTCGAGTCGGCGTGAAGTGGTAACAGTCCATTTAGAAGCATTTGCGGTGGACGATGGATGGTCCAGACTCATCGTACTCCTGCTTGCTAATCCACATCTGCTGGAAGGTGGACAGGGAGGCCAGGATGGAACCTCCGATCCAGACAGAGTATTTACGCTCAGGTGGGGCAATGATCTGTGGAGAGATGAACGATTAGCAAGATGTACAGCCGCCACAAATACCGATATGAGGCAAGTCAAAGTTCAGAGCACAGCTCACCTTGATTTTCATTGTGCTGGGGGCCAGGGATGTGATCTCCTTCTGCATCCTATCAGCAATGCCAGGGTACATGGTGGTACCACCAGACAATACAGTGTTGGCATACAAGTCCTTACGGATGTCGACGTCACACTTCATGATGGAGTTGAAGGTGGTCTCATGGATACCGCAAGACTCCATACCTGCAAAGGGAAGATGAATGGTTAACAAGTTCTTCAAGTCTCCTTCAAATCAAATCTAGAAGTACACAGCAGGTAATGTTTGTCAGGACACCTACCCAAGAAGGATGGCTGGAACAGGGCCTCTGGGCACCTGAACCTCTCATTGCCAATGGTGATGACCTGTCCGTCAGGCAGCTCATAGCTCTTCTCCAGGGAGGAGGAGGAAGCAGCGGTGCCCATCTCCTGCTCAAAGTCAAGAGCCACATAGCAGAGCTTCTCCTTGATGTCACGGACAATTTCCCTCTCGGCTGTGGTGGTGAAGCTGTAGCCTCTCTCGGTCAGGATCTTCATGAGGTAGTCAGTCAGGTCACGGCCAGCCAAGTCCAGACGGAGGATGGCATGGGGCAGGGCGTAACCCTCGTAGATGGGCACAGTGTGGGTGACACCATCACCAGAGTCCATCACGATACCAGTGGTACGACCAGAGGCATACAGGGACAGCACAGCCTGGATGGCAACGTACATGGCGGGGGTGTTGAAGGTCTCGAACATAATCTGGAAAGAAAGGGTTTGAGAAGTTAACTTCACGCTCAAAAGAGTTGCAACACTATCCACACATCCATGCAGAGGTTAGTTGGAAACCTGGAGTAAAGAATCCAAAAGTGCAGAAAGAATAAGTGTGGCAGAACACTGCAAAACAGGCAGGCAAAGTATAGATAACCTGCTGCTTCCAGCAAGAGAGGAGAAACTCAGGAGCTCAGAGGACACAAAGCCTGGAGGAAGTGAATGAATGAACGGGAGAACTTAAAATGAGGTAACAGGACAGACAAGACTTCAAAGCACTGCTTGATGGCCAAAAACCAACCTGTGTCATCTTTTCCCTGTTGGCCTTGGGGTTCAGGGGGGCCTCTGTGAGCAGGACGGGGTGCTCCTCTGGGGCAACACGCAGCTCGTTGTAGAAGGTGTGATGCCAGATCTTCTCCATATCATCCCAGTTGGTGACGATACCGTGCTCGATGGGGTACTTCAGGGTCAGGATACCTCTCTTGCTTTGAGCCTCATCACCAACGTAGCTGTCCTTCTGTCCCATACCAACCATGAAACAAACGTAACTTATTTGTATTAACATTTTAGCATCAGCAATTAAACCATGCATGACATTGAAAGATTTATTGAGATAATAGTTACTGTATATAAGCCCAAAAGTAAGAAAGTCTAAAAGTATTTTATTTACAAGCAGGACATATACTCATCAATATGGCCTATTCCTCCCATCCCCCAGCATTTTTTTTTTTCAAAGAATGCCAAACGTCCATCCTAAACACACAAGTTGCTGTAAGATTAGTAAATAGTAACTAGGCACCAAACTGTGATTAATGTGATGTGACATGCATCTTCCAATGCAGTCTGTGTATTTTTATTTTGAACGGCCATGCTTCTCTTTTGTAACTTTTGTAGATTGGACTGGGGTCTTGTTACAGCAGATGTGCTTTTGTGAGTCCATAGTTCCCCAGAGGACCACCACCCTTCCCTGATAGCAGCCTGCCTTCCCCCACTTCAGCGTTCCCATTCATCTCTAAATAAGGTACTATCCTAATGATGTTCAACCTTGCTCCATGACATAAGACGTCCAGAGCAATAAAAATTATGTTGTCGGCTATCACCATGACAATGTCATTGTACTTGAGAGTGCTGAAGTTCTTATCTTGTTTCTGATATAACAAAAACTATTGAGAAACATGATTATTTAAACAAAATACTTTCTTAATATGGAGTCAGGCAGGGAATTCTGGGAATATCAGTTTACAGTTTTTGACTGTAAATTATACATTGATTTATTCTTTTTTCTTCTAAAAATGGTATAATTAACATTAGTGTACTGTAAAATTACATGAAATGTCTGGTTAGATCTTTAATTTTTTTTTCTTGTATATACAGTAGTATGGGAACTTACTGTTAACTATTAACTGTTTTTTTCTGTAGCATTTTTACAATATTTTACAGTTATAATTACACTCATTTTTTACAGTGTACATGATGCACTCTCTTTTTAAAAAAAAGTTCTACTCACTGTAGTGATGTAAAAATCTGATCATTTTAATGCCTTGGATCTTTGAATCTCATTCAGGAAGATAAACAAAACCTTATTCAAGTTTATTTCATTTTGTTTATTTGAGCTATTTGAGTTATTTTGTTATTTTCTGACCAAATTACCTGATGTCTATGTTAGTATGTATATTTGTGCAAACTTTCATCATATTCCGGGTTAGAAAATTATGATAATGAAGCCAAAGACAAATCATGAGAAATGATTGATGACTACTTGAGGTAGTGGGACTGGGTCTTCGTTCTTCTATCACTTGACAGCCACATACACTATGTGCAGTAAACAGAATTAATTAGTTCACCTGAGGCATTTTGTTCATGAACGAACGGATGTTAAGCATGGGTGGTCACAGAAAAATGTACAAATATCACTCTTGAGTAATATAAAAATCGTCAATGATTGACACACCACCCCACATTGACTACTGCTAACAGGCTATTAATGAGATTAAAAATGTTACTGATTCCCTGTTATTGAGATATACATAACTTATATTGATAGAATTTCTTCAGAGATTGCATAAAATGCCTATTTACCATTGTAAGCCCATGCATTATCAATGCATGCTTATGATCAGTTGACATACTGGAACATAGGATTAATGCATTTGGTTGCACTACTGTGTGGCCTGCAATTTTCCTCTCCAAATGCATTGGGATTTACCCAGAGCCAAAGGGGCATGTGAGATGGTACTACCATATCGGTCAGTTTCTAGCAATAACTGCTTTTCGACCAGGACCCTAGGCCTGTTATTCTACCCTCCACCACCTGTCTGCCCGTGAGAGGAGTGCTGAGCAGGGATTGGCCCTGGAATGAGTCAGACATGCACGTCCACACTCCAGACTCAGTCAGCCTTTAAACCAGCATGGGAGAGATTACTGTGCCAAGCAGCATCGCCTAAGCCTGCTACAGGAAGTTGAGTAATGCTAGCAGGAAAGAGATCCTGCATCATAATAGAATTTTGCATATCAGAGAGCGGTTTCAACATAGCATACACTTAATGCAAGATTGAAATGATCCTTGAAGAATATTTCAGCAAGGCCAGTTCATGAAAGCTCTGGTTTTCTTAGAAGAAATTGCCAGATTACTGTCTGCAAATCATACCAGTCATGTTGACTACACCGGAACCTTTATCTAAATATTCTAATGAAAGCTTGCTGTCATTTTGTCATGACCCTATTCATCAGACCTTTTATTCTGAAGAGTTTCGTATTAATGTCTCTTGTGCATGAAATATCTGCCATTTCTGAGTGCTGTCTACATGAAACTGATTAGGTGTGGCACTTTCAACATCTTTGGCTAGACTGAGTGAGCTGTACCAAGCCCCAGCTCCAGCATTAATAAAGGCAGAGACCTATGTTTGGGTCATCAGTGCACAAAACATACATTCTAACTTCCAGTCTAACCAATAGCTGAGCACTGACCTAATTAACTACTAAACAATTGTCATTTACACAGATTTTCTTAACTTTGAGTTTCAACAGATTCAGATCTGACCCAGTCAAGTAAATATGCTCATTGAAATGTAGCTCCTTCCTTAAAAGATTCAAATTCCACCGCATGAAAACCAAAGGCCATTGTTAGTTGCCAAATAAGGGAATGACCTACGCATGTCTTACAGGAAGTGTATTTTTAAGGGATGACATTTCTTCTGCAAGTTTACACAGGAAATTACATTCAAATATTCTGGTGTGGTGACAGTGTAGCCAACTCAGGAATGTACAGATGAGTAGTACATACTTACTGTTCCATGTGCAGTGCACGTTTCACTCTCACTTATGTGTAAAAGACAACATTAGAGCACACAAACAGTTTTTTATTTTTTTTTATTACTTTGTAAACAGCTGCCCACCTCATATGGGTGCTTTATTACTTTAAGCAGAATTGGTAAAGAGCTTATGAAGACCATGTTTATTGTCTAATTGTATTGCCTGATTTTTTTTTTTCCATGTGCAGTGCACGTTTCACTCTCACTTATGTGTAAAAGACAACATTAGAGCACACAAACAGTTTTTTATTTTTTTTATTACTTTGTAAACAGCTGCCCACCTCATATGGGTGCTTTATTACTTTAAGCAGAATTGGTAAAGAGCTTATGAAGACCATGTTTATTGTCTAATTGTATTGCCTGATTTTTTTTAAAATAATATAATTCCCTCCACCAGAAGGCATTTATTTGTTTAGTTGTTTTATATGTGCATCTCATTTCATCACTCATTAACATAATGCTGAAAAAAAACCTTTCATTTTGGGACTTAGCATAACATTGTGTTTAAAATATGAGTAATCGAAAGGAAAACCACACTAAGGTTTTCTGATGACTGCTCTGTTTGAAACCTTTTGCCACAATCCTTGCAAGTCTTTAACTTATTTTCAGTGACTTGAAATGCACTGACTGACTGTGCAACGTGAAAGAAATAGACAAGTCCTTTCTTGTAGAGCAATTTGGGAGCTATTTTGGCTCAGGTGTGGCACAAAGCTCAGAATAATAGCCAACGGAAAGAGTGTCTTTTGTAAATGTACAATATTCTACAAGTAATGTACATTTAACAGTGTAATATAATGTCATTTACAATTACGTTTTTGTCAAATTAAAATGTTTTCATACACAGGCCTGTAAAACTGTGTTTGACATTTGAGTATGATAGGAACCCTTGACATCACCAGATATGTGAAGAATTTTCATGGAGAGAGATAAGATGCAATATAACAAGAACTTCAGCTTGGCTTGTGCTGCATTTGTCCTCTAACTTTGTCCGCAAAAGGATTCTTCATATTTATTTCCTCAAGGGCTTTTACTGTAGATGGTTTGTGCACTTTGGCTGTGTAAGGCCTCGCCCTCTGGTCGATGTAACAGCAACCGCCATAAAAGGAAATCTTTAAGTGTGTCACATGGTAACAATGTCAAGAATTCAAGGCACTTGTCACATGGGACGTTCTCATGGAAATCAGATTGAAACTTCTAGACCTAATGAATGAAGCAGCGCTTGGTCAGAGATGCTGGGGAGTTTTAATTAAACAAGGAAGTTTTTACTTTTGGTTTGCTGCAGTTTCAAACTGCACAATGTGAGTCTCTTTCCTTCACACATGCTTGCATATTTGAGTATTTTGTCAATTCAACCTTCACAATATACAGAAATGTTTCTGATATTTGTTTGTAGTATTTCATTTAGGTTACAGTTGGATTTCTGTTTTGTTTATTTGAGTTAAAGCAACAGTGTTCCCCATTCATTTCTTTAGTGAAAAACTGAAGGTTTGCCTCCAAATCTGCCTCACTATGAGTAAGAAGGAAGTGGTTTTAAATAATGACAGCGAGGTCATATCCATATATAGGCAACGATGACTGATGATGTCTCAACTTTAGATAGCTGATTTCATCTCTCTGTGTTTTGCCATGTTCTCTCAACATCATTCGTTCACATTGCACTTTCACACACTAACGCTTGACACAATCCATTAAGCCAGATGTACTATCAACAGTCTCTCGCTCTTTTTCAAAATCTCTCTCACTTTTACTCTTAATCTACCGCTCCCAAACAAGCACACGTTCTCATACTCGCACCGTCACTCTCATGCTCGGCCCCTCCTTACACTGTTTAGACAGCAAACAATTACGAGTAGAGAGCTGGTGGGCGGGGCGTAGCTTTATCTTCAACTTCTCAGCCTCCATATATGGAGAGGACTAGCAGGTAGTGATTGCCAAACTTAGTCATCAAAGCATGTGTCTCATTTATTGCACCCTCAGCTTGTGTTTTACTTGGGCTCTGAAGACGTGCGACTCTTGCCTTGTAAGCTCTGACTTTTTTCTGATTTCCCTTTTCTCCACAAAATTCCATGACATAATATGCTAATTGATTTTCAGCGGCTGAGATCTTTAAAAGAGTTCGGGGTCACTTCCTTCAGCTGGATTTGCGAGAGAAAATGGCATTGTGCTGTAGCAGAACCATATACAGTATCTTCAGAATTGACTTGTGGATGTGGCCACAGCAGCTTTTCCT